CATTCTGAGGAACCTCAAACAAAAGTTGTCTTTTGTTTGTTGTTATTACGTTATCAAGTATTTTCAAAACGCGTCGGGAAAGAGCTTAATTTGTAAAAGATAATATAAATGGAACTCGTAATAAAAACACTATATTTTAAATAATAGCACATCTTTTTAAGAATTTTTATTATAAATACAAAGATGAGGCGAAGACAATATCACGTTTTATAAGTTTAATCGCTTCGCTAAATTTATTCTCTAAGTCTGTGTTTCCAATGTTTTTCGCCGCTTGACACAATTGCCTAAGAACTTCCTCTAAACGACGCATACATCGTATAATTGAACCTAGGATGAGCAGAATTGAAGTTAAGTTAACTGGTAAAGAACTATAAAGGTAGTATCATAAGCAGAGTACAGATAAGTTCAACATTTTATGAATGTTTGTGTCCCATGTCTTGAAGTACTAATAAAAATATTTATAGTTTTGCATAAACATTGGAAATTATATTCAATCCTGTCGTTAAAATTAATGGAGAACAGCTATTGCAGCGAAATTTACTTACAGAATTAAACACAATAAAAATATAACTGTACCGTTCACGTTATTTGTGGTCGAGTAAATACATAACTTCTGCTTTGGATTGTTACGATCATGTGACAAAAGATACATTAGATGTTCCCTTTTCTATACTCTGCTTATAATATAATGAAAAAAAAAAGAAATAAAAATCTGCAGTATACCTTCAAATATATCTGTCATTTTACAAATTTGTAAAAATGAAGCTCCTTTACACCAAGTATACACTACATCCATGAGATAGGGTTTAAACCTTTCCACGTATGCATCCTCGTCTAGTTCCAAATTGGCTTCTGTAGATACCTTCGCTATTCTTCGAGCTAAATCTTGCATTTGTCTAAGCGGACCACTTAACTCCTCGGTAGACTTGGGCATTTCGTTCGATTTATCGTCACAAACGAAACAACTGATTAATGCTGTCATTTGTGGCACGCTCAACGAATTGAATAAACCATTGAAGATCATTTCTGTCATCAACAATTCGTCGGCACCGTTAAGTTCACAGGCCACACGACCCTTTAATTCTATAACATCAGACACTGTGCAATATGCTAATCTTCGCAGTACCCTTTTTCTACATTTCAACTCATCCATTTGAAGTATCGATTTGGCTTTTTTCAATTCTGTTTTGGCTTGCTTTAATCGATTGCCCAAATCCTCTTTGTTCAAAAATTGTTCGTATAGCGTATTTACATTGGGGTCCTATATTTAAGTAAAATGGAACATTTAGTTTTACGGTATTGAAGTACTAAAGGCGAGAATACTAGGATACTTTACCTTATGTAGAGAATGTGCATACAATCTCTCTTCGAGTACTTCAATTTTTTTAACGATATCCTTAAATCCTTCATCTTCTATTCGCATGTCTGTAATAGGATTCAGAAGTGGTGGTCCATTGGGAAATCTTTTCTTTACTTCTTGTATCGTTTTCAACACACTTTTCCTGTTGTCCGATGGTCTTAAATCTTTTGGATAATACAATCTAAGGGAACTTATTTGGGAAATTAATGTGTGCAATACAGGGACCACTTCCACTTCACCTTCTTCCCCTTTGCGACAAGGTACCGGACACCCTTCGCTAGAATCTTTGGAAATGTGAAGTAAAATATCAATGATAATAACTGTATTTTCCTTTCCTGTTGGATTCTTTGGGTTCTTCTTCTTGAAATTTACTATAATACCCCAGTCGAACATTTCATTTTCATTTTTAACCTACGAACATTAACTTTTAGAAAACACTGCTCACATATGTAAGTAACGCGTGTATATATAAATACATACTTTCACTAGCCTTCCAGGTTGAAGGAAAGGTAGTAAATACTCTGGTTTTGTCAAGTAAGATCGAAAATTAGTAGTAAGACGTTCAAGTTGTTCACGTATGTCATGGTAAGACGATATTTGACTATACTTTTCAATATTCACTGCGTTATATGCTGCTTGTAATTCCTTTACCTCTGTAATAATTTGTAAAAAATAATCATATACCAAATTGTAATATGTAACTGAGAAATAAACAGTCTACTTACTATTGTATAAATCAGGGATAGAGGCTTGATTCTGAAATTGATAAAAGCTCCTTTCAAGCATGTATTCTGGATTAATTTCTTCGACTCTTAGGAGATTTAGAACCATGTTGTAAGTTAAATGAAATGCTGAGTTAATAGGGTCTGCTTTTCCTTGCACAATCGCTTTACCAATAACTGGACTAACTTGTTCATCGATCATTAGTATTACTATTCCCTTTTCGTCTAGCCCTCTTCTACCCGCTCGACCAGACATTTGTATGTATTCACCAGAAGTAATCCATCGGAAATCTTTACCGTCGAATTTTCGCGATGCGGTAAATAATACTGTTCGCGCTGGCATGTTCAATCCCATCGCAAAAGTTTCTGTTGCGAAAAGCGCTTTTATTAATCCTTCACCAAATAATATTTCCACAGTTTCTTTTAGAATAGGCAAAAGTCCACCATGATGAATTCCTATTCCACGTCTTAGAAGTGGTAAAACATTTTCAACTTGTGGCAAACGCCTGTCCTCTTCGTTCAGAACATCCATGGCATTATTGAACACTTCGTCAACTAATTTCTTTTCTTCTACCGTATTCAAATCTAATTTAGCCATTTGCATCGCATAAATCTCACAGTCCTTCTTTGAGAAGCTGAATATAATTACAGGCGCGAAATTTCTTTCCATAATCATTTTCACCATCTTAAAAATATTTGTCTGTCCAGCATTTGATGCTCGCATACCTCCTTTACGACCTTTTGTGTCACCTTTAGCTGCATCGCCGTGTTGCAAGCATGCCATCGCTCTATTAAAATTTTCCTCTTTAAATTGGCCGGTTTCGTCTACAACCTATACGTACGCACAATAAGAAATAAATGTAAATTCTTTCTTTTCTAACAAATGATATTTTCGTAATTTTCTACAGACCAAGTGAATTCCATCCCCGCCAACGGGGAATATATAATGTTGTAACGGTGTTGGTCTGTAGTCTGTGTAAACAACATGGCATGGTTGTTTGTGCAAATGTGCAACCCATTCCACGAATTGTCGCGCGTTGGGTATAGTAGCAGAAAGAAATACGTAATGCACATTGTCTGGTAACAATATTAACGTTTCTTCCCATACAACGCCTCTTTCTTTATCACGCATATAATGGATTTCATCGAAGATTACCCATCCGACTTCACGCATTACCTTTAACATTAAATTCATTATCAATATTATTGTTCACACAACAAATTTATGTACACTTAATGTACTTAAATAAAATTTTCTTATAATCGTTTCGAAAATATATCGTGTATCAAATGAGCTAAGTGTACGGGTATGATTTAGAAGTATTGAAAAAACCTCGGATCCTCTGTAAAGCATGTTTCTTAAAATTTCGGTAGTCATAATCAAAACGCTGGCCGTCGGATTGATGGTAACATCACCGGTTACCAAACCAACATCTTTGAACTCCTCAAAGAATTCTCTGTACTTCTGATTACTCAGTGCCTTTATAGGAGTAGTATAGATTACTCTTTGTTTGTCTCTTAACGAACAAGCTATGGCGTATCTATGAAATGAAGAATTTATTTATAATCCATTAAAAATTCATTATCAGTTTGTGCAACAAAAGTTTACATATTTGTTTATAGTATTATACATACTCTGCGACAACAGTTTTACCAGCTGATGTATGTGCAGAAACTAAAACAGACTGATTGTTTTCTATACACAATATTGCTTCTTTCTGGAAGGGATCTAGTACAAATTTATATTCTTTCGCTGATTTCCCTTGTTTACTTTCCAGTGGTATATATTCATAATCCGGTGGAACAGCAACTTCGTGTGTGCAAGACTCGATTGTCTCTATACTATGTATTTTGATGCGTGAAGCTAATTCTTCTATGCTATATACAATAAAACAATCATCATGCAACGTGGCTCTTAAATAATCGAATCCCATTCGTATTGAACTAAATGAAGTTTGTCAAAATCACTCGCTGTAACTTACTTTAAATCCTCCAAAACAGGATCTGGCCTGAATTTTTTCGCAATTATTTCAGCAGAGCCACCTTCGCCTGAATCAAGTCCACGTTTCGAACTGCTTTCTGTCTCTACTGTCCTAAATACCAATTTAAACAGTTTTAAAAACACACATTTAAACGTGTACTCCAAGGTTATACTGCTTGAGGTTAGGAAAACAATGGGTACTTACTTTTCATTTAAAGCCGTTTTTACATCATTCTGTTTCACTGGTGTCGGTATCACTTCTATCACTTCTTCCGTCTCTTCGAAAACGTCGAACAAATCGTCAGTGAAATTGGCCATTATAACGAGAAAACTTTATTTACAATTCTAGGCAACGTCCGAAACGCACCACGTAAAGAACACTGTTTACACCTTCGATGTTTGACATCGATCATCGAACATCCAACTCGATATATATCGAATCCCCGTCGATCGTATATTCGAACAAACTATCGTTATATGTATCGTTGGATATCGATAAATATTTCAAATAGAAATATTTCGCTTATTTTCAAACGTCTCCTACAAATGAAAATCAGGTCGTTACGCAAGTATGAATTTCTCTGCACTATTATCCAGTAACACGATTCGTATAGATCATTCAGGTTTCTATGGATCACGGCAAAAGGTGACAAACGAAATATGAATTTCGAGAATGAAATTAAAACTGTATGTATACATAACCAAAAAAATATATATATATTTTTTTATCCATTTCGCGTATGACATAACCCTAGCGGCTTGACCGCTATTCTTAATTCGACTAATTAATCCGGATAACGTTCTTTTTTATCTAGATACGGCGCGACAGGGATGGGGAGGATTTGAATGGGTCGCTCGTGTTTATGGGCCGACGGAACGGGACTTTCAGTTTCTTTTGGACGTCCGTGAGTGCAACATCGCGAGTGTAACGGTCGCGTTGGCACGCGCGTGAAAGTTTTCGTCTCCTGAGCGCCCAGCCTCCTCCGTACACGGTGCCATTCGCGACTGCGGACAGACAGCGAGAGGGACGAAGGTATTTAAGCAGATCGTAAACTGAACTTCGCTCGATACCAATTGAAAACGATGCTTCCAATATTCACTTGATAATAATCCATGAAATTTCCATGGGACAATCAGAATCATCCCCTAAAAATTCAACTGGAATTACGCGGACGCTCTTCCTCTTCAATCTTCGCCCCTTTTCCTCTTGTGACGCTGAACAATTTTCAGTGTTAATTATTTTTATTGTTACCATACACTATGGGATATATTAGCTTAAAATAAATAAGACAGTTTTTTATCATTATCATTATCAGTCCTCGTCACTAGACACTCGAGTCACTGTAAAGTACCATTCAAATAATACAATTATTCGAGCCGTTTATATTATATATCATTGATTCTATAAAATCATAAAATTCGCGATTCTTACGTTTCACAAAGAAAAGTTTAATCGACAAGTGAAGAGCAAAGTAAATCAACACTAGAACCAAGTTAAATCGTCTGATTTCGAAACGCGATTTAACAAATTCGTTCAATAATTTAAGAAACCATCTCCGTAATTATTACAAAAGAACGAATCCTCGATAGGTCAACTTGACCTACCCGATTCCAGTGTTAGCCCTCTGCCCTCGAGAGTCGCCAGTTGACTCGATACAGTAGAATTATAATTTATCAACATTCACCATCGAATCTTGCATAATGCGTCAGTATACGAGGCATCGAAGCAGAGTAGTTGTTCCTCGAATTATGTATAATTTCTCTTGGAATTAATTAAAAAAAGCGTCGTTCACAGATCATCGGGAAACGATGAATATTTCTGGCAACGGAACTCTCGAGACGCAAAGGGTGAAATTCGCGTTGCTTTCATCTCTATTCGAACGTCCTCGCGCCGAATGGAACCAGGGAATGATCGTCGCCGAATATTTGCGTAGCGTCGGCTAATCGGACAGTAGAAAGTTACGGGCCGATATGATTAAGAGGTATACACTGTTGTGGTTCGATCATAAATCATGTCCGTTCCGCCAGGACAGCACCTGCGTTGGCTCCGTACACGATGACGTTCAGTCATCGATGCGTTTACTCATTCTTCCGAGTGCTTTCTCAGGTGCAACGCACCTGACTCTTCGCCCCGGTGACCCGCCTTGTCTTATCCTTATCATTAATCCGTGGTAATTAACCCTTCACCGGTAACGAGGTTTCTCATCAACGCGCTCTGCAACACGAACCTTTCACGGTCAGGCTTGATTCTCCATTGTTGCTGGCTCTAACGATCTGGAGAAATTCTAAGACGCTTCGACTGCTAAATTGAACAATCATCGAAACTCCCGTGCGGTTGAAATGATTCCTTTAACCCCTTGTCCTACGAGTGAGACTCGTGGTGAAGATTTTCAACGTGAATCAACGAATATATGTATTACTCGGTGCATTCGAATTCAAAGTAAACATTATTCCTCTGTAATCAATTATTATACTTAAAAGGAAATATAGGCGTAACATACGCTTAGAATTTTTCTCTTTTTCTAAGAAATTATTCATGACAAAGTAGCCCTATCGATCACAGTTGAGAAAGAAATCATAGGTCAAGGGGTTAATAAAGTAGAAGCTAGAGATTCGAGATTCTTCGTAACGATTGCTCTGCTGCTTCTCGAATATTTCTGTTATGCAAAGAATGGTAAGAGAATTGCGAAACGATGAAAACAGATTTGCGACAGGATTTTCAGTTATCACATAGTTTTTAGATCGTTTCACCGAGACGCGCAGCGGTTTGCGCACGGAACGTAATTCTTTTCGCGCGAATTCTTCAGAGAGTTCTATGCAGAGATACAAGTTTCCTTTTAATGTGGACTGTCGAAAGTTAGTCTGCGACGAGTAGAAATTGCATAAACGCCTGCGATCCGTCTGTAACGAACCGTTCGGCGACGAGGGTTCGAGGTATCGGTTCTTTCTATCGCGAGGATTTTCCAAACGATCAGTCGAATACTCACGGAAAACCAGTTGTCCTTTTACGTTTCCATTCTCGATCGATCGAAAGGACCACCGAGCGAGTATTCCCGTTTCGAAACGTTCGACGAAACGAACGACGAACGAAATCGAAAAACCGTGAAAGCACGGGTCGCAACGAAGGAAAGCGAAACTCCTCTGTTATTGGTAATGTTTTGTATCGATCCGGCGGTTCACGGACCCGCAAAAAGTTAATCTGGTGTTACGGTAACAGTACAGTTACGTATTCGGTTAAATCAAGTGCACTCTCCATCACCGGCGGATTCAGAAAGTACCGGAGCGTTCCGTTCTCTTACGACAAACGGACTGAAAAAGAAAGAAACAGAGCCGAACAGGGCGGCGTAATAACAGAAACGATCGGTTATTTGTAAACACGATGCGCTCGAAGATCGCGCGCCAACCGTTTTATGGAAACGGCGATAAAAATCGGAAGAGAAAGAAGACGGGCGGACGCGGGCGACTATCTTCTAATTAGATCTAGATGTTCGTATCTTCTTTTGAAGAGAACGGAATACCGGAGAACTACGCGGAGACTTTCGATTTCGTTTGAAAGCGAGGATCGACTTACAACGCGACTAATGAATAATTATCGGGAGAAATCGAGGCGGGGAACGAAAGTGATTCGCGACGAGATTAAAAAGCTAAGAGATCCGAGCGAAAGGGAAACGAAGAAAGTGAGAAATATTTCATTCGAAGCACAAAAGCCGTGGGTAAGCACGTTGCGCGACCCTCCGCGGTGACGAGGGTTGCGAAACGGACCGAGTCTCGACAAGATGGCCATATGTTAGAGTCGAAGGACGAGGATATAAGAACACGAGACGATCAATGGTCCACGAGTCATCCTGCCGCGGGTCGAAAAGTCAGGGTCTGTCCACCAGTCGATCTTTCTCAACCACCGTGCGCGCGTCCTCCGGAGGAATCCTGGTCGTTCACTTTCATGATCCGTTGATCTTCGCTCTTTTCGTAGCTTAAATCGGGGCTCCCCCAATCTTCGGCTGTCAAAGAAATGATGCAACGCTCGGAATCTTCTTTTCTTTTATTATTCTCTCTCTCTCTCTCTCTTTCTCTCTGTTGGACGAAACTAACGAACATCAAACTCGTACCTCACGGTTTTATTTATTAATCCCCGAACGCGCGGGATCTTTCTTATGTATAAATAACGACTCTGTCCGAAATTCCTGCCAGGTCGCTTAAGACACTCGAGTCTCCACGGGGAACGTGAAATCGTCCGTGGATCCTCGGAATGAAAAGCTGACAGAAATCCTCGATCCGTATGTCCGATGACTTCGAATAACGGACGAATGGAAAAGCCATCGAGAAATGTAGGTTTACTTTCAGCGTTGAAAGTATGAATAGAATCGTTCAGTTCTAGACTCGGTGAATGAATGATCGCCAACTCTTAATTAACACTTTGCACGTGAACTCTCGTCAAAACTCCCATGTGCTCGAAACAGTTTTTTTCATCAACCAGAAACTGAGAGATCATTCTTCTTAATAATCCGCCATCTTTCTTATATCTCGTGTATCCAACAAAACTCGGTTTGTTCTATACGTCATCGAACAAATTGATGAAGTTTCTGTAAGAAATAATGTCAGTGTTAATCAGATCACATCGTTACCAATTCTGAGACGCTAGAGACAAATTGTACGCATTGATCTTTCGCCATCGAAACAATGAAATCATTCTCTTGCAAGTTGCAGTTCTAGATACGAAAGCCTGATGTCACCGGTCGATGACGCTCGTCCTCAAAGGGTTAGAAACAAGCACGCGTAGTCTCTGAAGATCCTAGACGATTTCTACGACGGGATCTCGAGGGGACGCGAATTGCCATTCTAGTCGCGGATTTAAAACGGTCACCGTGAGCTTATTAAAGCAGGTAGTCGTTCAAGGTGTACAGTGGACCGTTCCGACCGCGGTGGAGGGGAACGATGAAGGTAAACGGAGGCGCCATATAATTTAGCTCTGCTCCGTTGATTGTTGCTCCGAAGTAACGGTCACTTCTCGCCGTTCATTGTTCCCATTAAAGTGTTCGCGCGAACCGTTTCAGTCTGATCAGCGAGCAGCTTATCTACTTAGAAATAGATCGAGCGGAACGGCTAGAGCGGGCTGCGCCCGTTAAAAACGCGTCGTCGACGCGACTGCCACGAGAATTTTCAGCGTTTTATGTAATACCTGTTCTTCGAGTAATTCTTGTCAGAAAGGCAAGTCGCTAGAGATCATTAGAAACGAGTAATGACTTTGTATCACGGTACTCGTGTTACTGATTATATTTTAATTAAACATGTAACTGAATATTTTGTTGAAATATTTTGAGATTCAGAGTTATTGTAATCCAAGCATTTTGGAAGCTTCAACGGTGACTGTGGTCAACGTGTTAACGCCTGTACAGTAGTAGAAATGTTATGGAACACTCTGTAAAGAAACCTCTGAGCTCTTCATTCGATTCG